ATAGTAATAGAAGATAGAGTAGAAATAGCGATCAATTAGACGCTACGCTAATTCCCATACTATACTATACTATACTATACTATACTATATATATATATATATATATATATATATATATATATATATATATATATATATATATATATATATTGCACGAAACCTTCACCACTATAATCAAATCTCATGTGTTGTTGTCGGGCTGTCGTTTTTTCCTGGGAACTGAACTGCTTGAACCTCATACGTCGAATTTGACGGGAGAGTCGACTATATATATATATATATATATATATATATATATATATATAGTAATTAGTAGGAGGATTTGATAATGATATTTAATTAATTCATTGAGTCTGATAGAAACCTCTACAGAATGCAGGGAAGCACTGGACGGCCGTTTCGTCCTATATTTGGGACTCATCAGCAGTGCGCATCCACTACCGAGTATCGAACCCTGACAGTTGGGTTGTCAAACGAACACCGTACCAACTGTTCCAAATGGGCCTCGGTGACTAAGAGATTCCAAATCAGACTCAACCTAAGTTGCTCACATATTCCGTGGCGGAACTCAACTGAGTTCTCTGTGACCATAGGACTGTGCCCCCGGGAGCCACGAAATACTCACCAAGCCGCCACCAACTGGAGCATTAGAAGCCTTAGTTGAGTCTGATTAGCGCTTAGTTGAGTCTGATTTGGAATCTCTTCGTCACCGAGGCCCATTTGGAACAGTTGGTATGGTGTTCGCTTGACAACCCAACTGTCAGGGTTCGGTAGTGGATGCGCACTGCTGATGAGTCCCAAATATAGGACGAAATGTCCAGTACTTCCTGCATAGAGGTTTCTATCAGATGATGAATTAATTAAATATCATATATATATATATATATAGTCGAATCTCCCGCCAAATTCGACGTATGAGGTTCAAGCAGTTCAGTTCCCAGGAAACCGATATATATGTTGCCATCACATGATCTATTCAAAATGGGATCGTCTATGTTTGCTCTCTGGTGATCTGTGTTCAAATTTCATTGTCGGTAGCGACACTTGATTGCTATATAACAATAATACTGAAGCATGTTTTTAATACTAATCTTCTTTGGTTGGCATTTATCGCCACTTATGAGTATAGCACTATGATGTCGGCAGCGGGTAATTCCTTTCTTTTCTAACATAAAGAATATATCTAAAATGTTCATAGTATGTGTAGTCTATGAAACATCAGGATAGTATTCAAAAACATTTTAATACATCTGATATATCTCTTCCGAGGTAAGATCACTCGAAAGAAATATGACAAAAAACTGCATGTATTCAATCCCATGCAGTTGTGACAAAGAATTTAAAGGACAGACTAGCAGCACGCTAAAAGTACATGAGAAAAAAAGTAGGAAAACAGTTATCCGATGAGTGATATTTGAGCGAAACTGGTGGCCGTCAACCCTTGTGGAATAGATATTTTATTGACAGAGAACAAAACTAGTGGATACGAGTACTGGTCATATATGCTCACTTGTTAGGCACTGGCAACTTCATCAGTAGGCCGAGCATAGAGATGGCAACTTCATCAGTAGGCCGAGCATAGAGATCATTACCAACTGAAAACCATGTTTAAGAAATAAAAAAAGGATTTCTATCGCCTGACCAAGGCAACTCATATAGATTGTTCAGCTAAAAAATTTCAATTTGTAATGGTTCAATTTCTGTTTGTGTTTTTCTCTTACTGTAACACAGAAAAAAATAAACAAAAACAAAAAACAAACAAACAAAACAAACAAAAACGGCAGAAATAGAGAATTTTCTATTTGTATTTTAAAAAGCTATAATAGTATTAATTGATTTGTCTGGTTATTTGAGAGTTTTTTTGTTGTTGTTGTTTTTTATCATTTCACCCAAAGCAATGCGGTAATGCCACTAACAGACAAAGTGTCACTGAGTGTGAAAGAGAATGGAAAGATATTAATAAAGAGAAAGCATATACTTTGCAGCTAAGGAAAGGATCGCTCGCATTGACTCGAGGATCCCGGCTACGGTCGACTCCTTTTTTTTAATGGTCTATGTAAATTGACGGCAACTTGTTTTGTTAAATCTTCTAGATATATTTATACAAAAATGTTTTTTTTGCTACAAAATAAACGAATCATTAATTTCGGTTCGCATTTCTTTATGATAAAAAAAGTAACATTTTCATTTATTTTTTGGCTATTTCATCATGAAAATGTCTCGATTTTAGAAAGCTGCAGAAGGTGAATATAATCATAATATTCTCTGCATTTTTAGAAAAGATTACTTTACGATATTAGAATTTTCACTATTCATCTAAACATTTTTTAGTCCACGTTGTCTTGTTCTTCAATTAACAGAGCAGATCGTGTTGAGGCCCCTCAAGAATCACCTCTGTAAATCGAAACACAATTAACATTTCGAATTTTTCCAATGTCCTTCAAACTTTTAATCTCGTTGTACACTTATAAAAATTATTCATATTTAATATTTCAAAACCTTTTCTTTAAAATACCTAGACTTTTGCGCAATAGATTTTGGCAAATTACATCTTTTATTTGTATAAATTGATGAAGAAATCATTTTAATAAAAAATAATTGTGAAATTATTCACAATTTTCATTTAGATCATGAAATACAGCTGACTATGTTTGAATCAATATTCAATTTAGGAATTATCACAGAATATTGTGCAAGTAGAATTAATACTCTTAATTTCGGATAATCAATCACGGAATCTCACAAATAAGTACTAAACAAATATTGGTATTTTAAAGACTTCTTGGGAAGAGGGCTGCTTATATCAACTTGTACGTCAAACTGATATTTTTGTCTTGTTTATTCTAGGATACGCACTGAATTCCTGTCGAAAACGCATGTAAATACTAAAGATTCATTGAAATATTCGAGGTAAGCCTTCATTTACCCTAGAATACGCACTGAATTACTATAGAATATGCGCTGAATTATTATAGTATGTGCGCTGAATAACCCAACGCGTATCCATGAAAAAAATCATAATATAATGGCATTTTGATAAATTGCATAAAGAATATTACCTACTTTTCATGTTAGGATTGCGTTAGATTAGGATTTGTAATAATGGAAACATACTTCATTCGGATTCACTCCTTTTTCGTTATTAGAAAGTTCCGGACGCCAAACGTATGCTACATTCAGAAATTGATAACTAGTCATTTTAAGAAATTATAGGCCTCTCAATTACACGCCATATCAGTGACATTGTTTGCAAAGTAGTAGCACTCTCCTCCCAAGATCCACACTTTGAAACTGATTAATTCTAGAGATTAATAATTAAAACTTAAATAACCACAATGACAACCAGCAGTTTGCTATTCTGTGCAAGTCTCCGCATTTTGTGGCAAAATGAGCAATGATTCCAAAACAAAGAATAAATAAATGTGTGTAGTAGTGATGAATAAAAATTACTATTACTCCTAACGTCCTGGGAATGATGATAAACTACATCCGCATCCTGGGTAAGACGATAAACTACATCCGCGTCCTGGGTAAGACGATATACTACATCCGCGTCCTGGGTATGACGATAAACTACATCCGCGTCCTGCCTATAACGATAAACTACATCCGCGTCCTGGGTATGACGATAAACTACGTCCAAAAGTAATGTTGCCAGCTATACGTTTTTGAAAAAATAATGTTGCCAGCTATACGTTTTTGAAAAAATAATGCTGCCAGTTATACGTTTACTAGGACTATATATATATATATATATATATATATATATATATATATATATATGATAGAAATTATTGCTTCAACCGGCTTCTAATGCTTAGTGAGAGTAGTCGTGGCTCCAGGGGGCACAGTCCTATGGTTACAGAGAACTCAGTAAGAGTTCCACCACGGAATATGTGAGCGAGCGACACTATATTGAGTCTGATTTGCAATCTCTTCGTCACCGAAGCCCGGTGGAACAGTTAATATGATGTTTGCTTGACAACTCTCGGTGGTGGATGAGTCCCAAATATGGGACGAAACGGCCGTCCAGTGCTTTCTGCATTCTGTTTAGGTGTCTTTCAGACTCAGTGAATTACTTAAATATATATATATATATAACTAAATTTGGCATTAAATGACCTACACTGGTTGATATGCCATAAAACCCAACCAACCTATTACTCCTGGTTGTTGAAGCATGTTTAAGTTCATTTTGCTACAAAATGCGGCGACTGGCACCTAATGCCAAACTACATGTCGTCATCGATTTGTCTAAGTTTTTGATATAAAACCAAGAAGACGCAAAGACATGTATACGGCTGAAGAATATGAGCATGCCTAGCCTTCCTAGATGTCTCAGAATATAATACTGAACGTTGAAAATCGGAGAAAATAACGACCAAAACATTTTGGTAAGCAATAAATTCGATGAAATGAATCTTAAAGCAATAAAACATAGCGCTTATCCACTGTCCCCGCGTATTTTATCTGCGACTACTGATAACAGATGGCGTGGTCTTTTTTTATTAACCTTTCAATGAAATGGTTTACTGATTAATTCGAATAGACAACCGCAATTAATATTCACGCTGTTGTAATATGTCTGGTTGTTTTCTCGATGTTTCGTAACCTTATCATTTATCTTAGCACGGCATCTGTATATAATACGGTAGTCACGGGTGGTCGAGAGGTAAACAGTAAGAGAGATAGAGAGAGACGTAGAGAGTAAAACAGAAAGAGAGAGAGAGGGAAGGAGAAAGACAACGCAAGAGATTGATTGGGAGGTCATCTTACATAAAGGCAGTTGTAGGGAGTAAGCAGTTCAATCTTGTTTTGTGAATTAACGATCTGTTGAGGACAAATTTTCACTGAACTGCAGCTGACCTTTTGAAATTCAAATATTTCTCTAATAATTATAATCATTTTGCAATATAGTAAATATAGATTTTACAATATTACAAAAATATTGTAATATAGAGAAATGATATAATCTTGTTAAACCCGGTCAGTTTTGAGCCTCAGAGAGAGAAACAAAAAGAGAGATAGGGACGTAGAGAGAGAAACAAAAAGAGAGATAGGGACGTAGAGAGAAACAAAAAGAGATATAGGGAAGAAGAGAGAGAAACAAAAAGAGAGATAGGGACGTAGAGAGAGAAACAAAAAGAGAGATAGGGACGTAGAGAGAGAAAAAAGAGAGAGATAGGGACGTAGAGAGAGAAACAAAAAGAGAGATAGGGAAGAAGAGAGAGAAACAAAAAGAGAGATAGGGACGTAGAGAGAGAAACAAAAAGAGATAGGGGACGTAGAGAGAAAAAAGAGAGGGACGGAGAGAGAGAAAAAAAAAGAGATAGGGACGTAGAGAGAGAAACAAAAAGAGATAGGGAAGAAGAGAGAAAAAAAAGAGAGATAGGGACGTAGAGAGAAACAAAAAGAGAGATAGGGACGAGAGAGAAAAAAAAAGAGATAGGGACGTAGAGAGAGAAACAAAAGAGAGATAGGGACGTAGAGAGAGAAAAAAAGAGATAGGGACGTAGAGAGAGAAACAAAAAGAGAGATAGGGACGTAGAGAGAGAAAAAAGTGAGATAGGGAAGAAGAGAGAGAAACAAAAAGAGAGATAGGGACGTACAGAAAGAAAAAAAGAGAGATTACGATACAGAGGGGGGTTAGAGGTGAGAGTCATCTTAGATAAAGGAAGTCTGCATTGAGAGGATAAATCTTGTTTCATCACCTAACGATCTGTTGAAGACTTTTCAGTGTTTTAAAGATAATGCCAGCTTTCTTATACCAATCTGGGAATGATTATGTGTTGAAAAACTACATAAAGCAGAATTAAAAATTATATAAAATTATTATTATAAATTAACTGATTTAAAATATGGTCTCTTCGCTACACAGTAATAACCATGTTTCAAAAGCTGAAACTAAAAACTTCAAATTTAATTATATGATTAAATTAAAAGCATTAGTTCTGTTTCATCTTCAAGCGAATTTTGGAAAAAAAATTATTTTTAAATTTACTGAGTTTTAAACGTACATATAAATTCATAATTTCCTGCTTCCAAAGGATACAGAGAAATCTAATCATTCAGACAGTGGCGGTAGCGTGTTCATTTTTATTAACTATTGTTGTATCAATTATGAGTTACGTTCGAAAAAGAGGTTTAGTCTAGGGAGGGTAGGGGTATATTTTTCAACGAATTCTGTCATTCGTAAAACGCATGTAGTCTGTTTTCTTTTTATTATTAACGGCAAAATGTTTTCGGCATTTTTTTCGTACTTGTACATTTAAAGATTCTTTCTAAAAGAGTTGTTTGAGTTAGAATACGTTATATTTAACTATAATTTTAAAATATTTTAATGTTAATTAATAATAGACTATATTTCTTTTTAAAAACAAGTAACTGTAATAGAATTACTTAAATTATTTAAAATTATTTTTTTCATATCAAATATAATTATGCATATTATCAGCTCCCATTTTTTAAATTTTATTTTTAAATGCTATTTAAGGGAAGTTTTTGACAATGACGGCAAGGAATACCTATTTCATTTCTTTCATTCAGTAATTTTTTTTTTATAAACTTATGAGAAACTATATATTAGTAAGTTTATAGAAAATAAAAATAAAAATAAAGAGAGTAACAGCACACTCCTTAATGTTCTAATATGTCGAACAAAGCATGGGCTCAAGACATCCGTATACCGCAAACCAACATTCACTGGACAGTACCGCAATTTCAACACCCACTATCCATACAGCGTAAAGAATGGGATTGCCCACTGCTTACAACACCGAGCAAAAAGTCATAAGTGGCGACCCAGAGATATTAGTTAAAGAATTGGTCAGTATAAGCAGTACCTTAAATTGTAACAACTACCCTGGGTACATGGCAGCTAGCGTCAATAAACTGGGATAGCCGGGTACAAGAGGAAGACAACAACACTACTTGCCTTATATGAAGGGGTTATCGGAGAAAATACAAAGAATCTGCGATCTATATAACATCAGAAAAACCTCCAAAAGCTGGAGGACACTTCGCAGATACCTCTCCCGGGGAAGACTTCCCATAGAGGAGAACATGACTAAAGAATGCGTATATTCCATCCCGTGTAGCTGCGGAAAGAAATATAAAGGGTAGACAGACCGCTCCCTTAAGGTAAAGCTTCAAGGACACCAGAAATTTGTAACAGGAGGGGAAGTGGAAAAATCAGGCGTGGTTGACCAAATATGGAGAGAAAAGTGAAGTCCCCTCCTTCTGTAAGATCAGGTTAAAATCATAGACATAGAAAATCATTGGAAAATTCGTAAACTTAAGGAATCAGCACATATACCAAACCGCAAAATCTCCTGAGCCGACGAAGCATAGAAATGAATACAATAAGGGAACCAGTTATAAGGAGTGCCAGAGAAAAGCAATAATAACAATGAAAAATGCAGTATGAGCTTTGGTAAAAAAAAATATGCAATAGTAACAGCAAAAATTGCAATATAAACACTGGTAAAAAATGATTGTGGAAGACATTAGGTTTATAATACCCAGAAATTCATACACAGATGGCACAGTGGATAAAGACGTTATTTAGGTCGAGTGACAGGATCCAAAGAGTGTGAGTTCAATACCTGGTTAAGGCGTTGGAGAACTTGGAGAGGGAAAATAACAGGGGATAACTGATATCCTTTAGACATGGCACGTGGGACTTGAACAGTCTACCCCTGCGAGCAAAATAAAGGGTTCAGTTCGATATTCCAAATACCTGAAGAAGGACATAGCGCACACCGGCCGGAACGTTGTGATAAATATGACAACAAAGATGCGGATGAATTTCGAGGAATATACATAAGTATATATATATATATATATATATATAATATATATATATATATATATATATATATATATATATATATATATATATAGTATAATACATAGTATATAATATGGCATAATATAATATAATATATCAAGGAACACACAGTGAAGATCCAAATCATTACTCAATCGCAGTTGATCTAGCGAAACAAGATTGCTAACCATTACACTACGTCGAAGTGACCAGATTGTGATTTACTAAGCATACCTTAGATTTAGCACAAGGCCGAAGGCAGATCGCGCTCAGTGAGGGTCGAACCCACTACTCAGTTGTAATTGATCTAGCGAGTCAAGTCTGCTAACCATTACACGACATCGAAGTTCTCCAGTCGTATATATTTTTGATATCTAAAGGCAAGTAACACTTTCCAATGACATATGGTGATATTTCAATGTAAACAAATATTCCCTATTCGCCTGCGACATTGTTTACTTACAGATCACCAAGGCAAGCCGTTTAATCACTCGGGCGTTACCGAATCACTCGGGCGTTACCGAATCACTCGGGCGTTACACTAAAATCTCAAGAGTTAACAATCTTCACTATTGCAAATTAAGTTAATACACCTAAGTGTGTATCATCATCATCATCATCATCATCATCATCATCAGTCCCTTGACTGCTTCAAATCGAAATGCGACGTGGTGGGTAGATGAGGCCAGAAGAAGACGAACAACCTCCTCCAGTCTGATAGTGTGGCGCTGGTTCCGGCATTGTCATGTCCGTCCATTATTTCTCTAAAAGCATAGAACGTGCGAACGTTCCACGTCTTATGGTTGTGCCCTATGTTGGTAGCTTGGTGGTGTTTGTATCCCCAGTTGTCCACTTGCCACGCCCATCTTGAAGTAAATCAATGTGTTGAACCGGGCCTCGAGTGATACCGCACGGTGTTGTTTTGATTCCTCTTCCACATGATCCGTTCAGTGGACACTCATGTAGCTTGCCGGCGCCCATCTCCATTCCAATTTATAGCATTATTTATAGAACATTAAACCTTTATGATGATGTTTTCTGCTTTTAGTTCCAGAAAACACTAAAGCGCCTATGTAAATCGACTCCTTGACAGAATCCGACGATTCAACTGTCCGATGCTGGAACTTTTTGACACAGCAGCGACATTTGCCTGTCAGGTAATTTTGGTTTGAAATTATCTCAGCAGTGTTACATCTTTTATGTAATTCACGTTCTCTTTTCGTCAAACTCATCATCATCAAGAATTAAAAAAAACTAGGATAACCTTTGCAAGCAAGCATGCTGTCTGAACTAATGAAAATTAGCCCAGATTATTTTTAAATGATGTAAGTTATTTTAATTTGATCAGCTCAGACGGCAACTAGTATATCAGATGGTGTAAAGCTGACAGGCGGATTGCTTCCTCAGTATGCGAAGAAATCATTTAAATTCAGAAGTGGTAGTGTATTGGTGTCGGGAATATTCTCTGGCGCCAATGTTGGCCCTCTCATTAAATTACGTGGCAAAATAAATGCTGCGAAGTGTGGTGACAGTATTACTTTTAATACGTAGCCTTGTACTTGTGATATATGACAGCCACCATTAAATAAAGATGGTGGTAAGCACTGAGATAATAGTGGCATAAAACAAAACTGTTATAAAAAGGCCATGTTGCCATTCTTATGTAGGCGATAAAATTGGAATGAAAGAGAGGAAATATATATGTGAATATCAAAGTAATTTATATACATTTTAGAAAACACTTTTTAGCGATTGCCAAGTGTGTATGAGGATGATAAATATAAGATTCAGAACATTCGAAATAAGGCCGTAAAATAAGTCTGTCTGTTATCAATAATTCGAGAAATTGATGCCACAAAAAGCAGTGAGCTTTCCCCAAGGGCGTATTAACCACATCTTTTGTTCAACCATCCTGACATATAATTTTGTTTTACTACCTAACATGTTATTGCTATTAGATTAATCAAAATCTGTCTACCCGGGATTGTGTCACGTGTTAGGGTCCCAGTTATGGACAAATGGTTAACACCAAAACTGGGATCAAAACGCCATGAAAGTATAAAAATGGATCTTTATAGTAAAAACAAAATAGATCAAACCAAACCAAACCAGAATATATCTTCAAACTTTTAGTAACGTTTATGTTTTTGGTTTCTATTCAGATGATGGGGTTTGAACACATAAACTGTTAAGAATAATATGTAAATCACCACGACGAAAAAAAAAATATGATGGAAATAATTCTTTAAATAATTCTTCAAATAATTAAATTTCGCTTAACATCTTTTAAAAAAGAACTGAATTAAGACAACAATTCTGTATAGTTATTTCTGCCACTATTTTTCCCAAATGTTCATACATACATACATACATTGCCTTGAGATCATTTTAGATATTGTTTCTCTTCGTGAAAAATCTTGAAATATTAAACTTGAACAGACATAGATCAATAACATTTATTTTTACGTTGTTTTATTTATACTATCCGATAAATGGTTATGCCCGGGCAAATCTTTCACAGATTTTAACAAATACAAACATTTTGTTTGTCTGAATACTGGGGGCGTAGTCATAATTATTATGTAGGTGTATATGATGCCAAATAGATTAAATATTTTCTACGCTTTTCTGTGCAGCATATTTTCACTTCAAAGGAAGAGTTTTGTCTCTTATTTCGTTCAATTACATACTTGAACCTCTAATACTCTTCCTAGGTGAGACAATCGATATCATTTGAAAAAACATGGCGACACTGTTTCGCCAGCTGTTGAATATATTCTATGAGAAGAATAACACCATATATATTAATGACAAACGTACGTTTTAAACATTGCGTTCTTTCTCATATTTTATATTATTGAAAAAGTTCCATTGTAAGAAGATAGAATATATGGTTGTCAACAAGAGAAAAGGTGCAAGATGCTGCGAACTACAAAATGGAGATGTCAACATCGAACTACAGGATCTTTAACATACGGCAAGTGATTTAACACAGGATGAAAAATATGACACCGAAATAAGATGTCGAATTGATATAGCAAAAGATGCATTCCAAAAGCTAATCTAAATACCAAGAAGCAGGAATATTTCATTGGAAAACAATAAAAGAGTGAACTGTTATATAACATCAATCCTCTTTTCTGGCACTGAATGCAGGTAAATTCTTATCGCAGATGGACATAAGAGGCAAAAGAAATGTATTTCTACAGAAGGGTGCTGAGAATACCCCGGATGAAGTGCGTAAGCAAGGATGAAGCCATAAAGAAAACAGAAACAAACAAACAAACAAAAAACACGTATACGTGGAATCAGAAGGAAACCGATGAAATTTTGTTGGACTCATTAGGAAGGAGGGATAGGAGAGTTTGATACTTACAGGATATATCGAAGGCTAAAGAGACAAGGAGCAGCGGGAAAGCGATCTAGCTATCTTTTTGTGAATAGATGGAGAAACAGGGGGAGGGAGACATTACTAAAAGCCACACCTTACTAAGAGCTGCAAGCCATGAGATAGACAGAACACTTGAAGGGACGTGGCAAGAAGAAGAAGAAGAAAAAAAAAGAAGAAGAAGAAGAAGAAGAAGAAGAAGAAGATTTGTTCAGTATTAAATTGTGATTTCTTAAACATTGTCAACATTGGTGAAAACGGATATCTTACACAAATGGAAAACGAGAAATTCCGGTATAGACCCAGACTTGAACCTTTCAACCTAAACAGAATCTAAATCGAGGCAAATATGTTTGTTGGGACAGAAAGAGAGCTATTTATCACGACAAGCTGGAACATTGACGATGTGGGGATATTTAACTCGTTTGCTTAACAGATTTGAAAAATATCACTTTCTGGTCGGTAAATCCGAACGCCGTTTTTTGGGGTTTATTTTTATTTTTTTATTTTTTTTCAAGTATTTTAAAAAAATTCTAGATATCAAAAACTTACTCGAAGACTTCAGTGAAACAAAATCAGAATTGTTCTTTCTCGAGGAAATAAAAGAAATTCCAGAACAATAAGAATTATAGGTAAGTATTTTATTGATAAAACAACAATGCTAGGAATAAATATTTTCTCAAAAATTGTGTAAACATTTACGTCATCATATTAGAAAAAATATAAATAGCACATTTGCAAAAATTAAAAGCTAAAGAAGGCTCTGCGTTTCTATCTATCTATATATCTATCGATCGATCTTTGTCTTTCTTATTTATATATCGAGGGATTAAAAAAGAGATATTTTTTGTCATACTAACATGTAAATACATGTAAATGTTAAACAAACTGTCTTTCAAAACTGCTTCTTTTGACGATGTTAATCGTTACTTCAGATTAATTCCAGTATGTCTTTAATAAAACCATGCCAACAGAAGTTCGATAATTCTATAATAGTAAACTGTCTTTGCCTGTCTATATTTCTGAGATGAGGTATTGTGTACACTGTGTCATGTTTCATCAAGGACACATGGCACAGTGGATAAAAGTGTTAGTTAGATCCGGTTTCAGGACCCAAAGAGTGTGAATTCAATACCTGGTTAAGGAGTTGGAGAACTTTCAGAGGAGAATTAACAGAAGATAACTGATAAATGACATCCAATAGTCTTGGCACGTGTAACTAGAACAGTCTACCCCAGTGAACGAAATGAAGGATACAGTTCGACATTCCAACCACCTGATGAAGGCCGGAGCGTACAACGGCTGAAACGTTGTAATAATCATAGCGACAAAGATGAGGACAATAGACCGAATAATTTAAATAGAGTAAATTGTCCGTATTCATCTTTTCTTTGTAAAAACCTGCTAATTCTGTGTATTCTGTTTATAAATTAAAGAGATTTAGGAACCTTTGCACATATAATGTCTGTAATTTCAGTGACATCCTTGAAGTCTTTGAATGAAGAAAGAATGACGTCCCTGATAAATTGATCTTATATCAAATAAAGTATCTCAAGATAGAAAAAGATCAAGAAAGAAGAAGTCAACATTATGTCTATACAATATACAAAAGCTGAATAGACATTCCATATTACCAATATCTCCTTGCAAGGAATTGCAAGTGTAATTCTATCCAAAGGCAATCTCTGTAATTGGAAAAAAGAAATAGTCACTTATAGAGAAATATTACTTTGTTAAAACCAATGTTCATTGCTGACCCAAACTGTCGATATTCAGTTAGGCGGCGACGAGAAAGAAGCGACCGCTGCTTCTTGTTGTTAGAAACGGATATAACGCATCATTGAATACGAGCAACTTAAAATTGGTCTGCCACCGACCGATAATAGATATTTTCTCTCTTTACATACATTTTCTCACTAAACAAGATAATCTTCAGCTTGAATTGAAGGCTTAGAGGATAAATTGTCCGTTTACAATATTACGACGAATAGAAATGGAAAAATAAAAAATCATAAAAAGGCCCGCCATTTGTGTCTGCTGTGAAGAGATTCTGGAGAAGCTTGTTCCTATTTAGTTCGTTACTTCGGGACGTTTGCGGTGATTTTCCGTCTATCTTCTGATAATGTAAATAGCATGGAATCGACAGAAATGGACAAAATGCTAAATTTGGCATCATGACAAGAGCCTATATTGTAAATGTCCATATTTATTTGACCTTTTATATAACCAGGTTGGTAATCTTAGCACACCACATGAAAGACTTCTTCTTCTTCTTCTAGGCTATCATCGTCACCACCCTTTTCTTCTTTTTCTTTTTCTTCTTTTTTCTTTTAGTCTATCACCCTTTCCTTATTCTTTCTCTTCTACTAACTCTTCTTCTTCTTTCTATTCTTTTTCTTTCTCTTTTTTTTTCTCTTAGTCTATTATCGTCATCACCCCTTCTCTTCTACTTTCTCTTCTTCTTCTTTTTTCTTCTTTTCTTTTAGTCTATCCCCCTTTCCTTATTCCTTCTCTTCTACTAACTCTTCTTCTTCTTTCTATTCTTTTTCTTTCTCTTTTTTTCTCTTAGTCTATTATCGTCATCACCCTTCTCTTCTACTTTCTCTTCTTCTTCTTTTTCTTCTTTTTCTTTTAGTCTATCACCCTTTCCTTATTCCTTCTCTTCTACTAACTCTTCTTCTTCTTTCTATTCTTTTTCTTTCTCTTTTTTTCTCTTAGTCTATTATCGTCATCACCCTTTCTTCTACTTTTCTTCTTCTTCTTTTTCTTCTTTTTTCTTTTAGTCTATCACCCTTTCCTTATTCCTTCTCTTCTACTAACTCTTCTTCTTCTTTCTATTCTTTTTCTTTCTCTTTTTTTCTCTTAGTCTATTATCGTCATCACCCTTCTCTTCTACTTTCTCTTCTTCTTCTTTTTCTTTTTCTTCTTTTTCTTTTAGTCTATCCCCCTTTTTTTTATTCCTTCTCTTCTACTAACTCTTCTTCTTTCTATTCTTTTTCTTTCTCTTTTTTCTCTTCTTTTTTTCTTTTAGTCTATCATCGTCATCACCTTTTTCTTTTTCTTCTTCTTCTAGCCTATCATCGTCATCATTTTTTTTCTTCTTCTATCTCATATTCTTTGTTTTATTTCAATGTTTAATAATTTTTATTTTCCTCTCCAAAACTTATTCCTCTGTTTGTCTTTGTACAAACCACTTCAGTCTGTTCTGAAATATATTCATACAAGGTCTGTAGGCTGGCTAATCTCTGTTTCCTTTTGTCCATTTTTCCTTTATTATGCCCTATGTGTGTCAAATTTTCCAAACTCTCTTTCCTCACTATTAGTCATAGAATTTTCGACTGTATCTTTCTTATTCAAAATATTAGCGCCCATTCTGCTTTTTATTTTCTTTTTATCCTTTCTCGTTATATACATGCTCTGTTCATGGTATTCTTAGCATCCTTCTGTAGAACCACATTTCTGTTATCTCCAGTCGCACCACACATTTGTTGGTATAATGACTTTCTGGCTCTAGTCTAAAGAAGGTGACTACGATTGTATGGGCATATGACGGAACAGGGCGAGCTCTCAAATAGCATACTTCTATAAAAATACAGAATAAAATGAAGCGAAAGATACAGCAAGCAATTTGCCGAAATTGAGCCCTTGATTCCATATGTCTTTCAGAAAGTGGGTCGGTTAAGGATGCATCCATCAGGACAGCACCTCGACAACAATGTCAGGTGGCTGGACTAGTGACAAGGGCAGTTAAAACCGCTGCAAGGAAAATGAGATGATTTTGCGC